GAACAGACCGCCACAACAGCTGGGAGCCAGTCGCCAACTTGATGCAGGATGCCGACGAGGCAATTGACGATTACCACAAGGCAAATGTGTGATGTATGTGTGTCTAGTCGTAGGCGACTAGCCTGAAGGGAGGGTGATGTTATGGACACCTGATTATCCATTATTGTTTTTCTTTTCTTTTCCTCACTGGACTCTCACGTGACTCGGCAACTCCAATGATTCACAAATAACACATCTAGTTCCCGCCCTTTGTTTGCCTCTATTTATCCAGCCTTACCTATATAAAACTGTGCTCCTGCTTGTAACTTACCTTTCACCTTGATCTACTCAATCCACCGGCTACCTAGCTGCTTATGTTGGTTATTCCACACTTGTTCTTATCTGTATTAGTAAGCGGCCGCCTAGCCGTTGCTGACACCTGCAAGTTCTGCTGGGCATAGAACACCGCCACCCAGCTCCTCACGTTGTGTGCACTCCCAACGTCAGATGTGCTCGCTACAGTCAATGTGCTAGCTATGCTCGATGTATCTGCCGCATTTGGTATACCCGTCAGACTGGATGGAAAGCTGAATGTACTGCTCATTATCTGTGATGACATCTCGGGCATCTGAGGAGCAAAAGATCTGGAAGTCTCCAAAGCACCATGCTCCTGCTGTAGCAAGCTGGATCCCATGCCTGGCCCATACCCAATATTCACTCACATTGCGCCCACTCTCCAAGCGTCAATCTTAAAGCTCACGTTGTATTGCACAAATGACATAGGGTTTGAGCTCCAGAAACTCAGACCAAGCTCAGCGTCCATATCTGATCCATCCCATCCTTCTGGCAGCATTGTGCTTGAGAACTGTCACATGCCCTCCTCTGATACATTGTTGTTCATACAAAAGTTGGACCAGTCCTTGTCAGTGCTGGCACTGGTATTTGCCTTTTGACTCAATACCACGGGCGCATCAGCAGCAGCACTTAGTTGTGATTTGACATTGTGGGACATGGGAGACTTGGAACTCATTGTAGAAGCATGTGCCTGTGAAGGATCATTTACTGGCTGCTCAGCACCACTGGCGGGGAGGTCTTGCTCGTACGCAAGAGTCTGTTTCTACTCCAAGAACCTCTTGTAATTGTAATTACCGTGTACAGCCCCTGCTGAACATCAGCTCAAAGCAGCTACAGATCCGAGTGCTGCATTCATGCATAAGCCCATCTCTATACTCTTGAAGATATACCTAAAGGGTGCCGTTCCTTCAGAGGAGCATACAAGCACTTCTATCTTTAATGAAATCAGTACTGTGGTGACAATCCCAACAGGACAGGCTTGCAATGTAATCGCAGACTTCAACGATCTAATCACTTGCTCAGGCAAAGTAGTCATGATGAATTCTGAGCTGGTGCTAGACACTCAATTTCAGGCATGATTGTGTCCTGGTCCTCCGCACCATCCGAGACATGGGGTGGTTCCACAACTGTAGTAAGCTGTGGGTCAATGAAAGTTACAATAGGGTCTTTCAGCTATATGAGATGCTGAGTATTGAATAGAATTGATAGAATTACTTGGCTACGCACACTCTCCTGGTATACCAGCCAAGCCATCTGACACACCATTCTTGCTGAGGTCACTGAGCTTGGAACCTGTATCTTTTATGACAATATGCTTTCCCTCTACTTCTCAAGTCAATGCCTGCTCTCTTGAACTCCTTTCCTCTGATGGCTTTCCCAGAACTGCATCCCACTCAAAGTCTTGAAGACAGGTATTAAGTCGGGTAACTATGCCACTGGTGTGAAGATCATTGCGAGACCGGGTTGATGATATTTCAATTATGTTGAATGCACTTTACAGAGCCTGGGAACCATGAGTATTTTGGATGATGGACGGAGGACATGAAGATGATGCATACGAAGGCCTACCGTTGTGGCTTGAGGGCATCTGTTGATAAGGTTAGTACATCATTACTACATGTGGGAAGCATTGACAAATTAATAATCATGCTGTGCTGCTAAGATAATGGCGAGAAGCAAAATTCACCAAACTTTTGAGTGTGTGCTTAATGCATATGATATTTACTATATGGATCCACACACATATTCTAGATTCTACAAACTGATGCCTTGCTATGCTTTATACTGCTCTTGGTAGTTTTATACCTTTATTCTTTGGTTTTGAGTACTGCTTTTGGATGCTCTCCCATTCACCTCCAGGATTTTGCCCCTTTATAATACACTCCTGCAATACGCGCCCATTCTCCCCATCACCTTTTGCACTTTGGTAAGTGGTATTATTTGATTTGGTCAAAGTAATTCTTCGCATGTAGCTTCCACCATTCTAAAATGGCCATGGTATTAGCATTGTAGGCCGTCCAATGCTAGAACCCAGTCAGCAGTCCAGAAACTGCCACATATCTTCACAGCCTCAGTCAGCAGATCAATGTCCCATAGGTCTCCGTCGTACTGTGGGTGTTAGCTCATTTAATACGAGGTGGTGCTCCCATCAATAATAGGGGAAGAGTAAATCAGCACTATGTTAGTATCTTGGAACTGTGTGCCGCCTGAGATAATTGTGAGGACAGAGTAACCTCGCAGAGCTTCTTTCCTCCTCGTTGCGCGTTGCAAATGCTTGTTCTTGAAGACAGCACCACTTAGTACCGAAACGATCTCAAGAAAAGTGCGGGCAAAATCGACACAATCCTCGTGCAGCTTCGGCATGTCCGCTGTAGATGTCATGATCACCCAACATTAAAGGTCCAACTGAACCACAACACTTCGAGTCTAGATGCCGGACATTACCTTATTCAGGTACATGTGCCTCTCTCACATGTGCAGCACCTCTTGACGGCCAAGTTAGTGCAGTAGAAATCATCCAGGGGACTTACAAGGCTTAGGCACGCTTCATGAGTTTGTTTCCCCTCCATTTGACCCCAATTTCCAGTAAGAACTGCGTGACCAAAAGCTTGCCCGGGAATTACAGCACAAGGAGGGGATTTTACAAAGATACAAGGGCAGCACACAGGTGCAATGATTGCCCAGAGTGCACGTTCTGGATTGGGATGCTAAAATACACAACTTCTTCCCGCCTCTAGTTTATTCAGCTAAGGACCAGCCGTGTCGTACACAGTGCCGACCCGTACCCCTTGAACCGTCCAAGCCCTCAGCACAGCACATGCCTTATTCTACCCAGTTCTCAGTACTCTGTGATACCATTGTATGGCCACAAAGACGCTTCGTGTCTGGGAACAATGAGGGGAGTCAGCCGAAAGACACAACTCTTCAGCTTCCGAGCTGTTGAAGGCGCGCACTCGCAACTACCAGCCTATTGGGGAAGAAGCCCTAGTATTGAGGTAATCAAGCCCAAGCTCTGCAAGATCTGGTTCTTTGTGGAGGTATGTTGTCTATTTTGTTGTTTTGTCTCTGCAGCGGCTAGTGTAGCTGATTGCTTATGCCTAGGACAACAAACCCCCTGCACTCTTGCAGTTGCCTGTCCTGCCTTCTAGTGTTGATGGGCTGTACAAACTGGGTGTCGTCCGCAAGGAATGGGATGAAGTAGGCGTCAAGCTTGGCAACATTATCAAGGTTCTCAGTACATCTGATGAGAGGCTCCCTGTCTGGTCCCCTGTTCTTCTGGCAGACATCGTCCTGCCCGCAGATTCCAAGACTATTGTTCCAGCGCATATTAGAGTGAAAAGGTTTCACCCACAGCTTGACAACCTAAGGCAGCTAGCTCTTGTGGAATCCCGTACGTTGCTTGTTTTGCGTGGCCTGCAGCATTCACTCACCGGCCTTCCCGCCTTACTAGCCCATGGCCATCAGTTGTAAACCTAGCGACAGTAGGGTAGTTCACACTTGTCATTTAATTCCATATCCCATCATCTGGACGTATAATTGATCCTACCTTCTCCTGTAGTTACTGCACAGATCGTCTCGAATACTGACGCAGCCTACTCTCACACAAGGGGCCAACCCAGATGGGTTGGCCTGTACCCATTCACAAATCTGGCGAGGTCGACCTTAATTGCCGCAGTCTCAGGAATGTGGAGATAAAAACACAACACCAGTCATGTCAGTGCAGGGGTGCGAGCAAAAAAAAATCATTACTTGTAGATGGCATGCTCGGCACGTACATTAAGAGGCATAAACAATACGTATACATCACCATAGAGAAACATGATACAAAACGGGGTATTAATAGGCCATAAGAGCACAATGATAGATGATATAAAAAATGGCGTGATACGCCATCCACTTGCAGCCCAAAGGCCGCTCGCTGGCACGAACCGCATGGCAGAGCACTGTGGCCAATACAGGTGAGCGGAATGACATTGGCAAGCAGCAAATTCACGTTTTCGCACTGGTGTGACAGCCGCGCGTATGATGCGAGTGTATCGACGTGAAGTGTAATCAGCAGTAGCTCGATAATGCTAGGCGGGCTAGGGACGTACTTAGCACTGCGGCATGGCTCAACAATGGGGGAGCAACGGACAAAGGCGCGCTGCGTCATCGGTGGACAGAGCCATG